GGAACAAAAAATTTTCTGTTTTCTATTAAAATCGTTGATGATACCTACGAGCCCAAAATTATTCGGAATAACGATAAAAATATATTTTATCACTCATTTATAGAGACGTTCAAATCCTCCAATGGATTTAAAGAAATGGTTCCGGAAAGTGGGAAATATTTAAATTAGAAATGATAGCTATTCGAAACAATTGAATTCCAACAATAACCCAGATCCAAAAATTAAAAATAATAAGAAATCAAAAAAAAATTGAGTTATTTAGTAGTTTAAAGTCTAAGATTAGTTGATTGGTAGGTGAATTTTTGTTATTTATTTTTTTTAGGATCAAATTTTTCTTTTTTTTTCTTAATATTTACTGGTTACATCATAATCTATAATTACATTACACTATTCCACTATTCCACCTATTTATTCACATTTTAATCTATCATTAATATTTATGATCAAAATAATCTTTGCGAATGTCTTATAATAAAAGATTCTGTATTAAATCCTATAAATTATATAATATATTAGATAAAAAGCTTTCCTTAAATAAGCTTGAAAGAATTATTTAAGTTTTGGATGATTGAAGTTTAGAATACAATAAGCTTGTGAAGTTGGACAGATTTGCGCTTAGAAAACGTGCCTCAAGCTTAAAAAATCAGATTTTTTTTTGCATCTTGAAGATGATGATTTCTAATTTATTGAGGTAAACAAATCAATTTACAAAGCTAATTGTTTTTGGTAACATCAAATCAAATCTTCTAATTGAAATGATTATAGTAAAATTTAGTGTACGGAGGATTTGTTGGTGGTTCTACTTCTGGGGCAGTCAAGGGAAATTCAATTGATATCGGAAAGTATTTGACAGCATAACCGGCATACAAAAATAATTTCAAATTATTATGTTAAGTTGATCGGTCACGTTTTTTCAGATGATTCTATTAAGATATAATTCTCGAATTGTAAGTTAGATATTAATAACACGTAAAAAATAAATCAAAATTATTTTTTATTTTTTATTTAATTGGGATCTCGTCAAAAAATTGTTAAAATAAAATATAAAGTATATTTCAACAACAAAGAGTTTAAGAATGACCTGACCTATAAAAATGAATGTCCAGAAAACGTGCAGGTACGTACCAGAAGTGTCTTGAAATTTTCCGAAAAACGTGTCAAAACCTGCAACGCTGTTACAAGTGTAGACACGTTTTCTTGGATTTATTCGATTTACAAAATTATTTTGTAGAGATATTTGGAAATTAGTAAGACATTGGAAAGCGATAATTCATTATTAATAATTGATCCGATGCTGTTGGCTCGTCGGAATTATTTGAATCAATGTCAAGAAAAAGTATAAACGTGTCATATTTGATTCTGGCTGGCATTTATAACTAGTGCCAGAATTAACAAATCCAAAAATCTTAATTCAAACATTTATGTTATATCCGTAATTAAGTTGTTAAATTCTGAAGAGAAGTGGATCATAATAGAGGGGAAATCACCTCTCCTTGGTCTATTCCTAGTATAGCATTGTAAGGTTCAGTATTAATTCCGGCCAAATAACGCGATCTAACAACTAACGTTAAAAGAATAAACGAGACCAGAGGATTACATCGTCCTTGAAAGTATTCAACTTTTTAATTGTTTCACATTTTATTTCTAAGTAATTTCTTGATTCAACGTTATGGTGTCAAAATAAATTAGCATTGCTACAATAAAAAATTAACATTACTGCGATTTCAACGACAAGTCACGAGACTTTTAGTCCGTACCGGTTTTTTTATCTACAAACATATGGTTTTTGGGATATTTCCTTTTGAAAATTTATTAATGCTGTTATCGAAAATTATTCGTTATAATATATAATGTTCACTTCTTTATTAATATGAAGTACCATAGTACGTTATACTTGGACGTTGTTGAAATTGTTAGAATGTATGATATAGTGTAAGTTGTCGATTTACTTCCTTGGCAAGATTCCTCGAGTGGTAATTTAAGGATTATATATTTGTCAATTAAAGAATAAATGCCGCCTTAAAAATAATTAGCTATTTTAAATTTACCATATAATTAATGATAAATATTTTTATTATGTGGAATAAAAGATAATTTTAAGAAATTTTAGTTATTATCTATTCCAAGACATTTTAAAAGGGATTTCTTCATTTCAATGAGCTCTTTCAGATCCAAGTTTTGTCATCAATTGACTTCTTTACAGCTTGACGAGTTTTATAGTCGTCGGCATAATAAAAACTATAAAATAAATATTACAATTAAGGTACATGTAAATTCATATTTGAAGGGAAATAAAGGAAAATAAATAATTACGCCATGATTTCCAACGTCTTTGATGTGGAATCAAATAAAATAATTCAATTTCTTTAAGAACCTATATACAAAAGAATAAGAATAAAAGAAAGATAAAATAAGATCGTGAATATTATTGACAGAATATTGAACGTCTGCTAACCTCTGCTTTTTTGTGCTCGATCATTATCAAAGTCAATCGCCTTATTTAATAGTCCAATAAATAAATTCATAAGGTATATAACAACCATAAATGAAAATAAAAAACCATCAATGTAATCAAAGTTTTATTGTCATTAAGAGTCCATGTATTTAGTAGATTATTTCCTACAATAAAAAGTAACAAAATATATTAAACAGTTGACTAATTGATAATAAATAAATAAATAATTTGATAATTATATACCTGTTAAGAATTGATACATAGCAAAAAGAGAACTGAATAAATAAATTGGTATGCTCATCAGGTTCTTTATATAAGGTAAAATTTGAAATATATTTTCCATCTGGGCCATCAGTAACTTGATGGTATTTTTCTGTGAGTCTCCAAGGATTATTGCTATCATTTAAATTCCCAAATTTGTCAGAGAAAAAGGTTGTTTTAGTTTTAATAAATTCATGAAAGCATGCACAAAACTAAAAATAATAAGAAAAAGAATTATAATGAATGAACCAATTCTGCAGCCAACACCATTTATAATAGCAAAATAAATCCCAAATGATTTAAATACTTGAAAAAAAAGTATAAATTTAATATCAAGTATAAGACATGCAATTGAAACTAAATAAGGATTGAGTGCATCATCTTTATTCATAATCTAATGGATTGTTGTAATTGTAGGCAATAAATAAACAACTAAATCTGATAAAGTTTATGTTAAAAACAATGGTCCTAATATTCAGTATTTGAAAAAAAATAAACAAACATACCAAACCAATTCCAAATATTTAGCAACCATTTCAATGGATCCCAAAAAAATTGACGAATCACAAATAAAAGATGATATAGATCCAATATGAGAGATAATCACAACTAATAAGAATCAGAAGTTATTGAAAAAAGTGCAAAGCAATTAGGAAAACTCAAATATAATGACTATATAACTGCATAATAATATTTTCTGAATTTTGTCTATTTAAAATTAATTAAAGATTCGCCATTCCATAATTTGTAAAATTCAATATCATATGCTCCAATAAATGGATAAGGTTGAGGCTTAAAAATTTCATTAAGCCACTTAAACTCGGAAGGATACAAAACATAACAAGGGTATAAGATTATTAATAAAATCATAGGTATATTTTGCTTCGCTCAGATTCATACTGTTATGAAAATTATAACTAATATAGTTATAAATAAGCCTAATATCTCTTCAATTATGGAATAATTAATGATTTGCTTAAATAAAAAACTACAACTAATATTATTTATATGATAAAACTGATATATTATAAATCTAATGGCATTAATAAAGAGGTTAGATTAAAAATTATTAATATTTCTACAAAATATTATCACCACCAATAATATGATAAAAATAAAATCCTAAAACAATAAGGATAAAAAAGAAAATAAAATGAATGGGATAAACATAATTGAAATTGGAAATTCTTTAAAAAAAATAAATCAGAGATAAAAAATATTTATGGAGAATTTTAATAATTTTTGATTCTAGGGTATAAGAATGAAGATAGTCAAAGACAAAGTTGGTATAATTAATCTTTGAATTCAAAAAAAAGGTAATAAATAATGTTTCATTATAGTATCTTGAAATAAAATCAGAATATTTATAATTTAAGTATGAAATATTGTTACATATTATTGATAGTATGTAAATATTACTTTGTGGGTCTTCTTTAAAAGTTTCAATAGTCTTATTAAAAACCTTTCCTAATAAATCTATATTATTTTGCTCAATTGCTGATTTAAATAATTTTTTTCCATATAAAGCGAAATAATACTTTGAGTTTAATAGATAATTGATTCATTGCTTTTTTAATTCATCATTACCAAATGGCTGGTCAATCTGATTTTGTTCAATTGAATTTCTAAACAATTTAAGTTTATCTACATCATTTTTAGATGGATCAACAATTTTAGTGATGTCTGAATAATCCAATATGTGATTATTATAATGCTTAATTGCATATTTTAAAAATCTAAGATCATAATTATATGTTCAAAATTTTTTGGATCTTAAATTAAAGGTATAAATAAATAATATTTTTTCATTATATATACAATACATAAATTATTAATTATCTGATGTTTCTATTTTCTAAATTCAATATGGTCAAAACTATTTAAAATTTCTTCATTTTCAATCACAACTTTTAAAACTATTGTATTTTGACTTCTTCAATTGATACAAAGCTATATCCAGTTGTATCATAATTCATTAAATACAAGGTAAGATAATTTTCAAAAAAATCACTCTCAACTTGTATTAGAACATTAAAACTTTGATTTAAATCCATCAAAAATTTTTGCTGAATAAGTTTATGTTCTTATTATCTTCGATATTAATTGAATTATTCATATTATCATTAACTTTGTTATTTTTCAAATTATCTGAAATGTCAAAAATCTAAGATTTTTCATTACAAATTCCAAAGATCTTTTTTTTTCTTAATTCAATAAGTTTAAATTGATCTTCAGATCCAAATAATTCACTGAACTTAATAATTAATTTTTCTAAATTTGATTTCTAATAGTAAATATTGATAATGTTAACACTTGATAATGTAATCATAAATTCATCATTACTTTCAGAAAAATCAAATTGTTGAGCATCTAATCAAAAAATAAATAAAATAATATTATTATAAAGGATCAGAAGCATACTAAAGGTTATATAAAATCATACCTGTATTCGCAATCTTTTCAACTGGAACATTATTGAAATAAATATGATATGTATCATTAACTTTCATTAAAATTAAAATTTCAGAAATTTAAAGTCTATTTGTTTAGTATTTAGGTTTATTTCCTTTTATAATGATGAATTGAACATTATTATCAATTTATTATTATTATAATAATCATAAGAAAAAAGATATACTTACAAAAAGAGAAACCATCTGGAATTGAAAAGTAATTAAATCTATTAGAAATATAGAATCATATGATGTCAACTACATCTTATTATTTATAATACCACCATAATTGATTTCTTCCTTGAATTTATAAATAACTTTAGGTCGAGTTTGCTTCATATTTAACAATTTGACGAGTATTAAATAATACAAAATCTCCATCTTTAAAAAAGTTTGTATAGTTGTATTCAAATCAGTTATAAATATTATTTTATTATTTCTTTATGATTTTTCAAATCATAAAATTTTACTAAAAATAAGATAAATAATCAGCATTCAAAAATTTGTATGATTATTTAAAAATGATAAATAAAGCTTTACCTTTAACATCATTTGCAACTTTATATATAATATCCTTTTTATCAGATACCTTAAAGTCGCTAATAACTCATTTGCAATCATACTGACAACTTTATTAAGTAAATTATCTGCTCTGATGACATTTCATAACTCAAAAAATTTGATTTCTTGTCTATATATTAATAAATACGTTAAATTTAGTGATATTGATAATTTAGTTATTTTGTGAATTTCGATTTTATCTGATAAATACTAATGAACAGAAGAAAAACTCCGAATCGTTTCACTTTCATCAATAATGTTAATTTGATGATCAGATTGAGACATAATAATAATCAAAATATTTTTATAAATTTGATGTTAGGTAAATACAGTGATATTTATACATGTAAATTAACTTAGTCACATGACTTTCTCTTTTTTTAATTTTCTTTATTTTATTTACTATAACTATGGAGTTAGAATTCTAAGATAATAAGTACTCATTGTTTTAATTTCCAAAAACTATATACAAAATTATGGAATCAAAATTTTACGATAATATAATAAATTCTTGTCATTTTATTGTTTAACTTCCAAAATAATATATAATGAGAATTCTGTAATATTCATTTTTCATTTTATTTTTATTTTTTTTTTGTTCGATAAAGAAGTTATTAAAAAGTAATCTTTTCTGCTTAAAAAATATTTGATTCACTAAAGTTATCAGTTTTTAAGTACTGCGTCGTTGTTAAGCTTAAACACTACGTCGTTAGAATAACAAAGCTTATTTGCTAACAGGGAGTTTAAGTTGTAAACTATGAAAGAAATAAAT